ATTATTGTATGGGAATGGCAACTTGATATGTAATGTTATGCATAATACATTTTTAATTATTTTTCATTTAATGTTTCATCTTGCTATTTTTATATAGTATCATATAGTGTATACACTACTTCTCATGGATTTGCTTTTTGTATAATGAAAAAGGACCTTGCCAATTAGTAGGTGTGAACTTCATTAAGGTTTTCCTTGTGTAACATGGGCTGCCACCTTAAGGACCATGCATGTTTCCCTCTTTGAACTCTCTTATTGTTATCATTTTATTGTATTAGGTTGCGAGTCTATTTATATTGGAGTTAGTTTAGTAGACTTATTTCCATTTTCTTGTATAAAAGGTCTAGTTGACAATACATTGCCTCCTCCTAAAGTCAGTTTCATTCTCCTTTCTTATTGACATCTATACCTTGGTTGGCAAAATTTGTATCTCAAATAGGGGACTATTTTCTACCCATACACTAAACTAAAATTAGGGGTAAAACTTTCTTTTCTTTTTATTGTTTTGTATGCTTATAATGTCTTTGAAAGCTTGCCCACCCAATTGGTTTGATTTTCCTTTGGTTTTATATGCCTATAGCATATTGTTGAATTCCATAGCCTAGCCCCATAATGACATAGGAGTCCTATGACTTCATTATTATTAAAAGAAAAAGTATTACCTACTACTGTCCTCATTGGCACTCCAAACCTATGGATGAAGTTCTATTTGATGAAGTTGGCTACATTGCTATTAGTCTCCTTTTTTTTAAAGGAATTGCCTCTACACACTTTGTAAAATAGATTGTGGGTACCATAAAATCCAATAGTATCTCCTTGATGAAGGCTTGATTTTTCAGTTAGATCCATCCTCTAAGTGTAAAAGGGCTAGAGTGTTATTACATTGAATGATTGGGTAGATTGGTGAACAAGAGGTACAAGAGTTTTGCTACACCTTAACTAGGATTACCTCAAATTAGGGCTGTTCATAACTAGATCCAAACCGACCAAACCGACCAACCCGGTCCGATCCAACCCGAGTTGGTCGGTTTTTCTTCATCACCGGTCGGTTTCGAGTTACAAAAAAACATAAACCGATGGTTCGGTTCAGCTTCAGTTTTCATGTGTGAAAATCGAAACCGAACCGACCCGAACCGACTTAGATATATATTATATATATATGATATATTTCAGTTTTACTATATATATTTGTGGAAATATATATATATATATAAACTTTATTTCAGAAATATACATATTATATAAAAAATTTCTGATATATAAAATATCAGTTTTAAACCATCAAATCATTTTTAATTTCCAGGCATCCAGCCTTTGCTTTCTTAGACTTGAATCCTTTACCGTTCACATCGAGAGAATCATTCACAAAACCGACCCAAACCGATTCAAACCGACCAGGTCGGTTTTACTTAGTACTGTATCGGTTTCGATTTCATTTCTAGGTAAACCGACTAAGTCGGGTCGATTGGAAAAACGCCAGTAAACCAACCCAACCCAACCCCCTACCTCAAATTGAAAGAATTGCTACAAATGTCGGTTCTTGTTGAACCACACTACCATGGGCATATAAGCAGCACTGCTAATCACTACTGCTACAAATCATATTTATACTAGTAGTTAGAGGGTGGGACAGAAGGGGTTTGTATCAACTAGACTGTTTCTAGTGCCTTATCATTATCTACAGTCCTATACACAAACTAGGCCTTCCAATAGCTTCCTCAATTTGTAATAGTCCATAAGGTTTTGTGCTACGGACCGGTGAAAGTTATAGAAAATTAGGGTTCCTATCACCAATAAGTTTCCTCATGGTGAGGACAACCTCTTTCATCGATAAGGGAATGGGGTTGGGATTCTTAAGTCCAAGCTCACATGTGAACCTTGTGGTGATGTCCCTAATCCTCGACCACCACGACCTCCTCTAGAAAATCACCCTCTCCATGAGTCCACTATGTATGTCTCTTTCCTCTATTGCCCCACCCCTGCTCCAAAGGTCTTTTTATTAAGGACACTAACCCTGTGAGTGCATTCAAAAACTCTCTAAACTTGAGGTCTCCATCTATGGAGTAGGGACCCATTGTGTCTTCAAACTTAGATGTTCTTCGGTACTCCCTAATTTTCCATCATACAACTATTTTGCTAGTAGCGACTGATATCCTAGCGAATAGGTTTTTTGTGTGATACTAATAGGGTATGGCCTCTAATAGATTAGATGCTAATTGGGTTTTCCTCTTGGGATGAGGGGTTGTAGGAAATCCATCAGTTCTTCTTTAGTATAAGTGTTGAATGCAGCCTCTCCACTATCCCGGTGTCACTGTTCAGCTTATATTTACTACTCTTGGCAATAGCAGCTGGTGCGACACCGATGATTGTGGTTCCCCTAAAGTAGATCAAATTGTTGCCTTCAAAATTGGTTGAAATCGAATAGATTCTATGATTTGTTGTCATGCTAGTGGAACTATCCACTCTCCCGACACACGATTGTTGTTTCGATTTCTATGCTACAAAATTGTTTTGTTGCCATTGAAATAGTTAATTGTATTTCTACTCCATCCAATCTCTACATTCACACTGTTGCTCATCCATCTTATTGAAGTAGTCCTCTAGATCGTATGTCTATCCTACCGGACTGGCCTAATTATTATCTAGATGCTCCTTATTATCTATTGTTGGTATGTTTACCTTTGATGTTAGAGGATCTAGTTCGGTTGGGTCTTTTGGCAACAATGGTGGTTGAATTTCACCCAACCTGGTTGGTTGTACTTTGTGTGGTGGAATTTTCTCCTTTGAACAATACTATAACTAGAGGTTCTTATTGTATGTTGATTGGATGAGGATGCTTTATAGGTCTTGAAATAGAGAGAATAACACTGCTAAGGTTGGGAAAGGTTAGGTTAGAAGAGAATTGGAAACTCTGAAGAATTGCTAAGTCAAGAAGAAGATAAAGGTCCCTAAAAACTGAAAAAAGGAAAAACCTCCACTTAGGCTCTAGTTCCCCTACTTATAGAAGTAGGGAAGCAAGCTACATGCATGAGAATGCACATTTCAGAATATTCTTGGCCTTAACCGGCATGCGGGAGGCAGATCCCAACTTTCTTTCCTCAGTGGAACGTGTCTGAAGGGACTATAGGGTTATTGTTAGACCACATTTCTTTTATTGTTTTCCTAAAGCAGAGTTTGTTGCTAATGTTTCATGGCTGAGGTAGTACGACATTCAAACCAATTGAGTAAATATTTACAAAGTTGGTTTTCAAACACTCATCTTAATACATATAGGAGGAAAGCAGTATTTGATGTGGGAGACTATATTTGGGCCATTTTGATAGAGGAACGCCCACCGGTTGGGCAATGTGGAAAACCAAGGAAGGTTGGACCATACGAGATAGTTGAAGTCATCGATGAGAATGTTTACAAACTAAAGCTACCCAGCCATATACATACACGATGTTTTCAATGTCGAACACTTGGTACCATATGTTGACGATTAGTTAGATGATGATTTGAATCCAAGGACGAATCTTCCCAACCCATGGAGGATGATGCAGTACAGGAGAAGACCAATAAGTTCTATGCAAGTTGGGACCACTCCAAAACACATAAGAAGCTCAGATAACGTCATTAATCCAACCGAGTAATCAATTACCAAGATAGCGCCAGCACGGAATTTCCATTTTAGTTTGAATTTACCAAGCTGTCAGCATAGGACTTCTATTCTAATTCATAATTACCAAATTAGCATCAGATTATGATATCCGGATTTTTGTTCAATTAGGACTTTCTTTTTGAAAAGTTTTAGTATGTTTCTATTATGGAGTGTTTTCATAGATTAGGAAGTTTTCTTATAGGAGCCATAAGGGTGTATGTAAGAGTAGGTAGGGGAAAACTAAGAGAGTTTTTTTTATATTGAATTTTCTCTTAATTATTCAGTGAAGAATTCTTCCTCCTAGTAGTTTGACTAAAGTTCTATTTTTGAAACTTTTCTCAACGTGTTTCATTTTCGTACTACACCAATGACTGATAATAGGTAAGAATTTTGATGCATGTTCTTTAATTAGTGTGATAAATATACAAAATTCCCCATTTTTTATTTATTAAACTATTTATTTTTTCATAAGATGAATATAACATTTTTTTACAAAGATTTTGCACTTTTTTCTAATTAATTTTTATATTTCTAAATATTTTATCATCTTCTTTATGATTTTTGATGCATGAGTCAACCCACTGAAACTGGATGGTTACGTTGACGTAGTGACCCTGAAATCGGAGGTAAAGTGTCTCCATTTTCAGGTTGTTTCTTAAAACATTATGAAAAAGAAACATTCAAGCTTGTCTTGTACTCCATCTAGAGTTTTAGAGCGTTTTACAAACTTTAATGACTAATTTGGGTTGTGTTTGGTTGCATTGCCACATCTACTTGCAACAAGACAATTGTTTCTTCAATACAACACTTGGTACCACTGTTGTTTCTTCAGAATCCTCAAATTAGGTGTTTTTACTATTTGTGGATTAACTGATTATCTAATATGACATGACAAGACAATTTCTTAAAAATTTGCATCAACGAATCTAAAGCGTTGCAAGTAGAAGTGGCAATGATACCAAACACAACCTTGATAGCCCACACCAAGATTGACCATCAATTTGGTATGGCGTTAAACCATAATTGGCTAGATTCTCAGCTAGATGTCTAAATCAGCAATTGTTGAGAATTTGCTGCTTCTAGAGCAAAAAAAGTTGTGCATGAACACAGAATTTAGAACTTCAATTCCTTTGGAACAAGTGAACATTCTACATAATTTATTCTTTTTGGACACGCACGGGGGATAAAAATTAAGACCAAAGTGTAAAAATCAATACATCTTCACTCTTTTTGGAGGAACTAGAACTTATATTTCTAGAGAAGAAACAGTAAAAACTGAACAAAAAAAAAAAAAAAACATATACATGTACACTTGGGACAAAAAGATTAAATGTATTTCACCTGTATTTTGTTTTTTTTTTTCTGTAAATGTATTCCAACCATTAATGCTTGCTTATATAAATTAGTTTACTGCACTGCACAGCCTCCTTATCTCCCCCAAGGAGCCTGTGAGAGGATTGATATCGCCCATCTTTATCATGGCAGATGCAAAATCTGATTTAAAAGTATTAGGGCTCTTGCTATATTCAGTGACAATGCTGTCTGTGGATCCTCCGCTGAAGAGAACTTGATCAGAATGAAGGAGACCCTTTCTCTGGATCAGATTCTTGAAGTAGTTATTGTCAAAAGAGTTGGGTGTGACCAAATCGAGAGGGGCCAAATTGCCATCCCCTGAGGCGTCAGTAGGACAACGACGTTTCCTTGTGCTTGCAAAGCCAGCATCAATGTCACTAGAATTATCATATATCCGGCCTCGGAATGTCAGGCAGCTTGCTTGTCCTATGGTGTGAGAACCTGAGAGGGCAACCATATCTCTTGCACTGAGACCCTTCTTAGCAAACTGGCCGATAAGTGTGTCAAGGCTTGCTGTAAAGCTCGGAAGGTCGCTGTTAGCTAGGTCTGGGCTTGCAGTGGTGGAGTCTCTTCTTCCAAGCTTCACTGTCCACGATGGGCCTCCCACCTGAATTAATTTTCAGAAATATATATGAATGACTGAATCTAGATCATCGTTTAGTAGTGATTACTCATTCAAACGTCCTTACGGGAGAAAATTATTGTAAAGATAAAGAGCATAATTTTAGTACTCACAGCGATAGATGCATCCCGTGCGGCAACAGCAAGGATGTCTGCACATGAGACAACACCGGGACAGATGCTCTCCACCTGAGATTTCGCCCTGTCTATGACTTGATAACCTCTTGCTGAGTTTTGATTAGGGAGAGCATTCTTCTCGCTTCTGATTGAAGAAGAATCGTCAAGTAAAATTGATGCATCGCAACCCTGGAAAATGGTCATCACAAGGTCAGAGAAATTAAGAACTTACCATGCTTAATTGGGAGAATAAAGAAAGAACGTAAGGGAACAATATATCACAAGTACCTGAACAAAGCAGTCGTGGAAATGAAGGCGAATGAGTGATGCAGCCATTCGCCTCTCCGTTGAGACAGCGGATCGGATGACAGTTCTGATGGTGTTAAGTGCACTCGGACACGAATTATCATAGAAGGTAGGCGTCAACTGTGCTTGAGTTGGTGTGATTGGCCATACCAAAAACATGGTAACAACAATACAACATAGGGAGAATCCCGAAGCTCTTCTTGAACCCATATCTTCCAACCCAATCTTTCTCTCTCTCTCTGAAGAAGCAAGAGATGGCACAAATGAAAGTACTGGAGAAATAGTAGGCAAATGCTTCGTCTCAAGCAGTTAATGAATGTATAGAAACGATATACAAAACAAGAACGCAATGCAATGAGCAAGAACAAATGCAAAGCTCATTTTATAGGCAGAGCATGCACGTAGTAGTTTTTCAGGGTGGCTGATGACCTGGTCTGGAGTCGGCTAACGCGTTATTACTTATTATCAAAGGTTGTTGAATTTCTTTTGCATGACTCATTCAGCCATTCTCTTAACTTACCCTCATTAATTAGTGATCATGTAACTCAACACCGATGTGAGACGATCTCAATTTGTGTCTCTTCTTTCTCATATTTGTTTCTTAAAATTTAAGTTCAAGTTCAGAATTAATATATTAGAATTGACAAGTTTGGAAAGTCAAAAAGCCAAAAACGTGTATTCAACGCTGACAGCTGCGCAAGACGGTGCCGTTTTATTGGTGGAAAGAGAGGACGTGGAAGATCCACCCATCAGTGGCATGAGATGAGATCTTCTGCCAACAAAACATTTTCCAAACCTGGCCATTTGATCCCTTCCCCTGTTTGACCAGTGCTCTGTAGGCTGTGTTTGATTCGAAACTCTGACGGTGCAAATAAATTTTAAATTTTAATTTATTTTGTGTAATTGCATTACAAATGAAGTAAATTAAGACAAGAATAAAGTAAAACCTAAAATAAAATTAAATAAGAATTTAGATTTCTTTCATTTGCACTCCCTATTAATGAAAATAAAATGGCACTGCAACCAAATGCAGGAAAACCCAAAATTCTGGGGATGGGGGATGGGGGATGGGTGGGGTGGAATTTATCCACCCTGCACTGGGCCGACCCAGATCCATCCTGACTATAGTATATAATTCTTAATGTATATTATATTATATTTATATAATACGTATAATATTAAATTAATAAATATATTATATTATATTATATTGCATATATTACAAAATATAATATAGTTTTAGGTAAATTAAAAAAATAAAAAAAATACATTTATAAGTAGGAATGACTGGAATAGGGGCCCGCCAGGGTGAATTCGGGGATCTCTATTTTCCAAGAAAGGAAGATGGGGTGAGAATGGGGCAACTATTTGAATCAAGGTAGAGAATTAGACATCACATCTCCTCCTCACAAGGGGCCACCCCACAACGCTCTATAATACATCCTCGCTGTATATTCGGAATATCTCTCCATAATAATACCAAAACTGATGATATCATCAATACATGTCCAGGATGTGATGTGGGGCATTGTGGGGAGGAGATGTGAACTCAGAGAATTATAGCTTTATAGGGCATGCAAAACCCGGCTTCGAACGCCCAACCCTGTGTTGCCGGGCAAGTAAAAATCCCTGTTAAATTAGCTTATCTGGAACCCCTTAAAGTAGCTGAAACAGCTTTAGCTCCAGCTAAGCCCTTCATAAAATGCACCAGATCAATGCCGATGGTAGCATGTTGGGCTAAACCATTCATAGTATGTCATGTCAAGGCTTAAAGAGTGGTGTACATCGTACAAATCCTCATGAGAACCGGACATTACCGAATTAATCACGTATGCCACGTCATCCCGAAGTCTGGATCCACATGTATATATGTGACATTGTGTATGTATCTTGCTTAACCAGTATTAATATCTATAAAACTGTTGACGATTGGGACTCGAATGAGCCCTGCATTAAACGACAGAAAGACAAAAATGTGGTTGGCAAGCCTAGGCTTAGCTATCCATCAAAAGTCAAAAGTCAAATTAACGTTGGTTTAGAGTTTGTGACGACGTCTCACAATAATTCTGCAGGTGGGTGGGTGACGCACTGGTTTGAGTCGCTTTCTAAAAAGGGTACACTCGTTTGAGGGTAAGTGTCTGCGAGTCCCTTGACAAAGACGTGAAAGATAAACATCAATCAATGGATAATCTTTTGGGTCATGTATTGTCTTTATAAATTTGCATTAATTATTATTATTATTACTAGATTAATTTGTATTATTTTTGTGAATTTTTATTATATTTTAAATTATTTGTAAAAAGAGCCTTAAGACATTTACATTTGTGAACAACAAAGTATTACTTTTCGTTTATGAATTGTTAATTAAATAAATATGCATTATTTCATATGGATTTTAAATTAAAAATACTCTTAAAATTAATAATGTTTTATTCATTTTAAATAGAATCTAAATTTTAATAATGAATTTTAAATTAATAACTTTTGTTATCTTTAGTATTTATATTATTTTAATTATTTTTTTTTGTGGATTTTAAAGTTTATTAATTATTAATTTCATTAATTTCTCTATTCTTCCATTGGTTTCATAGATGAAATGGCAGATTTTGGTAGGGTAAATTTCTTAAACTACCCTTATGGTTTAACTAATTGACTAAGTGTATTCTTACGTTTTGAAAATTGACTAACACTACCCCTACTATTTCTGACAATTGTCTAAGTCTTACCAATGTCGTTAAACATGGATGAAAATTCTAAAATGTCCATTTTACCCTTTAACTCAAACATTTGATTGATCAATAAAATTACCTTTTTATCCCTCATTTTACCATTTAACTCATTGTAGCTGCCGCCAATCTCTACTCGAAGGAAACAGTACAACATCAGTTGTCGTCGATCTCTAGAAGCATACTTGCTGGCATTGGAGCCAATTTGCCTTGCGGTCTAAACCCAAAATCTCTCGCCAAAATACCAAGAAACTCATCCATGATCTATCAGTTTCTTTCAGCTTCCCCAAATCTTGGCGCAATTGAGATGGGAGGGGAGGATCCAAATGAGACATTTCGATTCTCAGAGTGCTAATAAGGGTGAAGCAAGGTGGGGGATTTATGCAACGCCGTTCGATCTCAAGTGATGTGATTTGTGATGAAGGTAGAACAAGAAAAGGTGGACCAGAGATTGAGGATGCATCCGGCGAGCCTAGCCCCCTTGCTTCAGTTGACGAGTCAAAAATTCAGGATGCAGCTAGCGATTGAAGGAGTTGTACTATAAGCTAATGGACCAAAGATCGAGGATACAGCCAACGAGCCCAACCCCCTTGCTTTTGTTGATGCACCAAAGATTGAGGATGCAACCGATGAGCCCATCCCCCTTTCTTTAGACGTCGACTACTGCTATTACCTGAAAATCGGAAATGAGGAGAAAAATGAACCAAATCTTAGATCTTAGTATCTATCAGATCTCGGGAGATGCCGGTCTGGCCCCTTTCTTTCTCTCTCTCCTTCTCCTTCTTCTTCCCCTTGTTCTCTCTCCCCTGTTTCATCACCGTCGTTAGCAGCAGACCCCTCCAGCCCCACCCTTCTCTCTCTCTCCCTTCTTCTTCCCCTTCGTTCTCTCTCCCCTGTCGATCTGTTTCATCTCCTTTAACTTTGATCACAGTAAGGGGATGAGGCCTCTATGTCTGTGGATGAACTCGGAGAAAGACACTGATACAGAAGTCGATCGATGTTGCAGAGAGACGATGACATCACTATAACATGGTTGAAGCTCATTTCCAAGGATTCATCAACCCATGAACCACCCCTACCATAAATCAAACATACGAGGGTCGGGGGGAAGATTTCAGCTAATTGTTGTCACTGCCCTCAACCTTCGGGTACAGTGCAGCAGTTGACTAAGATGGAGATGACTGTAGGAAGATAAAGGGAAGAGAGAGAGGTTAGAGGAGGAAGGGGGTGTCGGGTCGAGAGGAAAGGGACGAGGGTAAAATTAGGTTTCAAAAAATTTTAAGCATTACATGGTATCACATATGTACGGATTTTGACGAAATATTAACGGATGCTAACCATAAAGTTAGAACTAGACAATTGTCAGGGCGCTGGTCAATTTTCAAACTTCAAACAATAAGGATTCATTTAATTGAATCAATTATCACAACGATAGTTTAACAAATTTACCCATTTTGGTATCACTGGGGAAGGGCTAGCTTTTGTATGAGTGTTGGGAAGTTAGATGGTAATAGTAGCAATAGGGTTGTTCACGGATCGGGTTGGGTTGGTTTACTGCTATTTTTCTAACCGATCCGACCTGATCGAGTTGCCTGAAAATGAAACCGAAATCGACCTTGTCTTAGGCAAAACCGACCTTATCGGTTTGGGTCGATTTGAGTGCTTAAATTGAGGGGCTAAGGGAGTAAGGGCGAACCAAGTTAGAAGTTACTAAGAAAAGAGAAAGTCAAATTGTGTTAGAAAAAGAAGATTAAAATTTGGAATTTTTAAGAAGGCTTTTAATCTAAATAAAAAAGGCACTTACTTGTAATTACCTATTTGGTGTAAAGGACCTTAGATAATAAGGAAAGAACAATGACAAGAACCTGAACAAAACAATCATGGAAATGAAGGCGAATGAGTGATGCAGCCATTCGCCTCTCCGCTGAGACAGCGGATCGGATGACAGTTCTGATGGTGTTAAGTGCAGTCGGACACGATTTACCATAGAAGGTAGGCGTCAACTGTGCTTGAGTTGGTGTGGTTGGCCATACCAAAAACATGGTAACAACAATACAAGCTAGGGAGAATCCTGAAGCTCTTCTTGAGCCCATATCTACTAACCCAATCTCTCTCTATCTTCTATCTGGGCACAAGTAATCCAAGAATGTTTTCTTTTTTCTGAAACCGCTAAGCTAATACGTTAGAGAACTTAGAACAACCATAAAACGAGAATGCGATGAGAAAGAATAAAGAGCAAAGGTCCTTTTATAATTATAGGAAGGGCATGCACGTGATAGTTGTGGTGGTCATCAGGACTGCAGCTAGTCGGCTAACGCGTTTTCAAATGATGTTGAATTTCTTTCCCATAACCGATTCAACCAGTAATTCTCTTTACTCAGCCTCTTTAATTATTTAACTCAACGCTTCATACAAATTCAATGGAGATGTGGGACTAGTCTCTCTCTGTCTCTCTATTCCTTAAATCTAACTTTATCTCCCTGTCTCCATTCATTTCCTGATGCATTAATAATTGAAATTTTAAGGTTTTGATTTAATAAAGTCGAACTGTCAAAAGCCAAATACGTGTATTCAACACTGACAGGCGACAGCTATGTAATTTGGTG